CTCTTTTTTGTTGTTGTTTTGTTTTGGGTTTTTTTGCCTCTCTTGGACAGGGGTGGGGGAGTTGTGTACCGTAAGCGTTTGCTGGAGTGCCAACCACTCCCCCACCCCCCATCCCTTCGGCTCCTCCATGCCGATCACGTGTTCAGGCACTATTTTTAAATGTGGAGTCCTCCAAATTCAGGGTGACACCCAGGTCGTAATGGCCCCGCGGGCAGGCAAGTGCCATGGTGAGGGTCTTGGGGGTCAACGACCGCAAGTCGGGCGTCTCCCCTTTCAGAGAATGGTGGAAGCAAAGGTCACGGTGAACTGTCTCACTCACTGGGGAAGGGAGGGGTGGGGTGCTGCCTTTGTGGGGGAGACTGTAGCAAACAAACCCAAACCCTGCTCGCTGGGCGCCGCAGTGAGGACTAAGGTGCTGCCTCCCAGACGGCGGCAGGTCTACCGGTCAGCCTGGGAAGCCAGAGCTGTTCAGTGGCCCGGCGAGAGGGGAATGATTGGCCTCTGAGGGTCCCCTGTTGCTCATTCCCACCCAACTTCAGATCCATGTGCAATCTCTCCAAGGAGTAGAGGAGAAGGTCTCTAACAAGAGCCCCAGGATCTTTCTCTAGACCCCTGGGAGTGGCAGGTTAACTGCCAATATGCCCAGGCTTTTCGAAACCTGCGAGTGGAAAAGTAGGGGTAGACCTAGAGCCGCCATCGCCAGGCTCGCTGCCATGCAGCATCAACTCCTGTCTTGGAGAAAGAGAGCAGGGGGCCGAGCACTTTGTTCGCTTCTTTGAGGTTTGGGGAATGGGTGAAGGGCCCTGGGTATGCACACTGAAATAATCAACTTTCTGATGGGAAGAGTTTGGTGAAAGAATTTTCCTTCTTTTGCAGCTTGTCCAAGAGTTCAATACGCAAGTGGCCCTGTACCGAGAGCTGGTCATTTCTATCGGGGATGTCTCTGTCAGCTGCCCCTCACTCCGGGAGGAAATGCACAAGACAAGAACCAAAGGCTGTGAAATGGCCCGCCAGGCACATCAAAAACTTGCGGCCATCTCAGGGTAGGAGACTCCTGGCAGTATTTAGTAATTAAGATAAATAAGGTGTGGATGTTGGCCGATCTTTATAGTGGCGAAAATCTCTTGGTGGGTTTCTGCAAAAAACATTTCTTTTTAGTAAGTGGTAGCTTTTTTTTAAAATCAGGTTTCTGCAAATTTAAGGTTTTAACTGATCGCCCTGCGTAAATTCAAACTATGTGCCAAATCACTAGCCGAAGGCATAAGTCATTATCCTATTCTGCATAGATTTTGATGACTTTAGACATGTAATGATTTTCTTTTAAATGAACTTTCAACATGTTTTGCATACACTGTACTTTTGGCTTTCCATTCTTTGCTGAATGTTGGACGAAGTTAAACGAATGTTTAACTGAAGTTAAACCATTGAGCTTCAAGATAATTTTGTCATGTACTGCTAAACAAAAAGGCTCTTCAGTAGAGAGAAAAAAATATTTGTTAAATCCAAGAATAACTATTTATACCATTAGATAAATTCCTTGGATACTGCTTAAAATAAAACCCTTAAAATAAAGCCTTGGCTATAACTTCTCTCTTCACTGTCCCACTTTGAAAAGAAAGTTTAACATTAAAGAAAAAACAAACAAAAAATTGGAGAAATTCACAAATCTAATTAAACATTAGCTGATGTTGGCCCCCCTGCAATTATTTTCATTTACTTTTATCAGAATTATGGATTCCTAAACCTATTTTTGGTGATAACCTAGTGAGTAGAAACTTAACTTTTGATACTCTATTCCCTTCTTCCTAATCTCTCAATTTTGGGAGGAAAATTAACCATGATTTTGTGAACAGTGCCTCCTTTTAAGATAAGAACTGACAGCAAGGAAACACAGAAAACCTTATACAAATACATTAATGTAAATTCTCAATATAAGTTTTCTGTATTTATCGCTCATCTGTTTATATCTGTGAACATGACTGTATCATAAAATAATTTCAAATTAGTCAGTTGGAAGTATGGCACTTAATGCCATTAATACGCACAAGGATTATGAACAGTATGTAAAGATGACAAAGCCCTTTGTTACCTCTCCTAATAACTAGTTTACATTTGACAATGTATTTCATGTTAAGAATTAAGATACTCTATACTAATCTCCTTAAAGTGAGAGAAAAACAAAATATGCTCCCAATCAATTCTTTTAAAAGAAACAATATTAAGGAGCCTTACACTTTTCTATTTTTAGTAGTTAAACTGTAGGAACAGGAAATAGATTGGGAAGCGTACTGGCACTTGAGGTGGAAGTAGAAGGGAATTCAGGGATGAAATGCAGCTGTGATTAAAGGGGGAAAAAAACTAGAAAGGAGAAATAGAAATATGCAATGCTGGATTAAAACTGTAGAGAAGTATATACTCCATCCAAAAGAAGACGAAACTTAGAAGAGAAAACTTTACACTTCAGGTGAAGGGGGTAGAATCTTCATCAACTTTACATCCCAAGAGTTACATCCAGGATTTCCAGTAAGTTGGGACTCAAATTGATGACATGCCCTAAGCAGAGATGGTGGGTTAGAGAAGCAAACCAGTGCTTCAAGGCCATCTATTTTGCCACACACTTAAAATTCAAGCTCGCTCAATGGCTCAGGAAATGAAGAGTCTGAAACTATTGGTTTAAGGAGAGTTTTGAGGTCTTGTGTTGGAGTTTATTTAGCTCTGACTTCTTGGCCCCTTGATTCCTCCATATCTGAAGGTTCGTGTTAATGAGAGCAGGTTTATAAGAATGGGTGGGGGGAAATATGAACTCACTCTGAAAAGTTGGACCAACTCCATTAAATGTTCTAGGGTAAAATTTGACACATTTCACTCTTTAAAATTGTAATTAAGTACAACATAACCTTCTTTATGAAAAATGACAGCAATATAGTTGGAAGAAATCCCTTAAGTCCTCACCATCTGGGCTCCATTAATGACAGTTGTGATTCCTCTTGGTGGAATTCTGTTTCTGAAAATGCTGGTTAAATGGTCTCCCATTTCAAGCTTGATATGATAGCTGGTAGGAAGGCTGTAGGATGCCGTTTAAACTTAGATTCAGGGGTAATTTTTTGGAAAAGCAAAAGTCCTTAGGGAATGCAGGGAAAATGAATGAATTCCCGAGTGTCTCCTTGGCCCTATGTCGAACGATTCTCAGAGGGAGATATTAGTATCTTTGTTCTATGAATGAGTCTCTGAGATATTAAGGAATTGAATCTCTAAATTACAGAACTAATTGACGTAGTGCCGCTACGCAAAAGGATGTTATGTGACTAGGAATGAAGTCCCGATACATGACGCCACATAGCCGAACCTTAAAACAGCACCAAATCCCCCCAAGATGTCACCCCACCCCGCCACATTACATGACTTTGTTTCTATAAAATATCCAGGAGAAAAAAAAAATCTAGAGTTAGTGCTTGCCTAGGACTGAGGGTAGAAATTGACAGTATCTGAAAATCAGTCTAAGGGACTTAGGTGGGGAATAAAGGGATTCTGAAATCTGATTGTGGCGATGGCTTTACAACTCTGTATGTTTATCAAAAGTTATTGACAGGAGCATGTAAAAAGAGCAAATTTGATGCTGTGTGAAGTTTCCTCGATCAATGTGTTTTGGTTCATTGTGAAGGTATCACTGCCACCATGGTTAGCACATGGACTTCCATTAGCTATTTTCCCTTCTGCATGTGCTATCTTTGATTAAAGGGCTATGAGCTATGGGGATTGAAAGAAATAAATCTTGGCATTCTCTGCATCCATTAGGATGCCATCCCACCAGGCATGTAGATGCCAATGTTTAGTCCTGTAGAAATACAGGTAGGGAAAGACAGGACTCAAAGGTGTAAATGGATTTACTCATTTCTGACCAACCCAGACCACTTCTTGTGCATCTGCCACCTAGCTTTGGGGTCAGCGAAGGGGAGACAGGGCAGGGGAAGAACCCAGTAAACAGAAGATTAAGAAAGAGAAGTAGAGAGGAAGAGAAAAACCAAAAAAATTAGGATTAAACAAGTTAACAAATGCTGTGTACCTTTCATCCCTGACCAAGTCAAGGGATGGTGATTGCAAGGGAAGACAATTCAGAGTGTTCATCACTATTTGACCCTGGGTAAGAAGCGTGTCTTCAAAGGCACAATCAAAACACATCATCAGATTGTGCTTAGATCAGCAGATGTTCAAGCATACTCTTTTCTTTCCAAGGCACCAAGTGTTTTGTGGACAAAATGAGTCCAGAACCTCGTCTGCCTGGCTTGATTTACTGAAGGTTTTATATCTTCACTACTTTGATTCTCTTCTGGATATTAAAGTTAAGACGCCCCTAAAAGATCGCTTGATAGAGTAGTTTCCCTTTTTTTTTTAAGCAGTGGAATTCTCTCTTCAATCTAAATGAGGAAAGCCAAATTTGTGAGGCGCCAACGTGGCATTGCGTTGCTCTGTTTGACGCCATGGTGGGAGCGAGAGGTGGAGAGAGTGATTTTCCCCCCCTCTTCGGAATTCCTTCCTAAAGTGACATCTGAGACCACTTCCCTGGAAAGAATCCTTGGGACACCAAGGCACCCACAGTACTGATTTGCATATTTGTCATCCAGAGTTCTGATTTTGAGTGTATTTGAGGCATCTTCAGGTCAGAGCATTTAGGTAACTAGAGAGACAACTTGGTGGAGTAAGAGTAGAGACTTTGAAGTCAGGCCAACCTGGGCTGAATACTAGTTTTTGTGACCTTGTTGGAATTACTTAACTTTCCGAATGTCTGTTCCCTCATTTGTAAACTGTCACGCCCACTCACAAGGTGCTTTAGAGGATGAAAGGAGCACTATGCCCAGCCCTGGGGCTATAGTGGTTAAGAATTGGGCTGCTAACCACAAGGTCAGCAGTTCACAACCATCAGCCAGCTCCAATGCAGCTTCCTACTCTCACAAAGAGTTATAGTCTTGTAAAGTCACAGGGCAGTTCTACCCTGACACGTGAGTTGGAATCAACTCAATGACAGTGAGTTTGGAGGTTTTTGCTGAGCACACAGATGCCACCCTGTGAGAGGCTGCTCCAAGATGATAATCAATCTCATTCCCCGTCTAGTGCCTGTTGCATTGACCGCATGACCTCCAGAGCGCAGCACACAGGGTAGGGGTGACCCAGACCAGCTGACATCCTCTAGTGACTCCTGGGAGTTTATGCTTGTGGGTTAGCCTTTAGGATTTCATTTCCTCTGCTGACACTGTGGGGATGAAGTCTATCTTCTTCCCACTGATCTTTCGTAGACATGGCCACATTCTGTTAGTGGCCACTGAAGAAAGTAAAACACATCGAAGGATTCTCTCCAGATCTTAAACATGAGGCTCAAATACGACGATGGGAAAGGCAGTTGCGTGCGATGGGAAATAGCATTGACCCTGTTAGATCAGACCTAGAGAGATCCTAGCTTTACTCCTCCCAGGGCTCCGTGTATGTATTAAGTGCAGATGGTTTCACAGGATGTGGAGTGGCAGTATAGTTCACTGATTAAGTAAGAAAGTCTTTGATATCTGACCAGCAATGTTAAAATCTTAGGAGTATCATTGCTTCTTCTTTCTTATCCTATCCCTAGCAATTATCAATCATATTTTTCCTCTGTGCTTAATTTGCCTAATCACAAAAACAGAGTTAATAAGCGTGGGGATCAAATTCAATGGTCATGTGAAGATTGCGTAAGTTAACATTCATCAAGCCCTTAGAAGACCTTCTAGCAGACAGTAAAAAAGAGCAAGCCCTGGTGATGCTGTCAGGTAAGCAATGGATTACTAATCACAAGGGTTACAGTTCAATCTCAGCAACCACTCCACACAGAATACTGGGAAGATGAAGCCAGTAGACTCAGAAATCATCCAATTTAACCCTTTCACTGTGGTGTGGAAAAGAGGAGGCTTTGTGCTCCCATAAAGATTTACAGCCTCACAAACCAAAGATAGGGTCACTATGAACTGTAATTGACTTGATGGCAGTGGGCCATGTGTCTGACAGCTAGGACTAAGCA